ACTGCACTGTAAAAGAATTAATGTGTAATATACATCATTATACATGAAAAACTAATGAAATTGAATCTGTGCAACATTTCGTATAAGTGTCACATAGGATCTTGTTACTCAACAAAGCACATGGGTTCATTTTGGGTATTTGGAGAAAGTTTTCAAATGCACATTGAAATTGCTATAGAAGTTGAGCATTGACACTAGTTACAACTGAATTCCAAACTACAAATCTTGACTGTAGGCCAAGCACCACACAGCAAAGGAGATTTCTTGGAAGTAATTTTGAAAGGCATTAAGATGAACCTGTTAATAATTCTCAGGTATTTGTGTACCTCTTACAAACCTGTGATTTCTTCCTTTCTAACTGAGGAAAAGTAATTTCAGGTTTGAGCGAGGTGGGGGTATTTTTCATGTATATGTCTCCTTCCCCCTGCCTCCTGCTGTGATTTTCTAAGATCTGCCTACTGTAACCTCCTTCTTTTTTCTATTGATAGAGTACTAATCATAATATGTATAATTTATGTTTCATTTTTACAGTTTATTTAATCCTGAATGGGTTTTGGAGAAAAAAGGAGTCAGAGAAGGAATGCAGCAGAATCCAGCATTTCTCTTGCATAGAACAATTTGTTCAAAGTTGTGTGTCTATCTCCGTGTATACATGTATGTGCATACACATTTTTAAGAACACACCTCTTCATATTCTCAGATCATAGAAATGGGAAATATCATGGGCTGTCTGTATCTTGACAGAAAGATAGTTGTACTGCTATATGTAATAAATGTCTCATTTTTGTGTACCCCCATCTTGGAAAGAAGCCTGTCTTCTATGTGCTTTTGTGTTCTGGGGACTTCAAAATGTGATTTACATCAATTAAGAAAGTTGTCCAAATGATCCAGTATTTCTGCACTGACAATCCATCAGTCTGTAGTTATGGTTCCATTTTCCAGTGTCTTCACCCTCATTTTTTTTAGAGCATGGTGCTCATAACACAAGGTTGTGGGTTCCATCCCCATGTGGGCCATTCCCTTTAGAGTTGAATCAATGATTCTCGTTGAGTCCCTTCCAACTCAGAATATGCTGTGGTTCTGTGATTCATTATTAACTTTAGCTGCATATACAGACTTATGCTTACAGGTATGGCTGTAGAAGCAAGAACATCTGTTAATGATAACATGTATATCATTGCAGAATCTGCATTTTAAGAGCTTAGCTAGCTAACTCTGTACTTTGAAAACTTTAAAGAAAAATGTGAATTTGATATGATAATAGAGGCCGTCAATTTGTAAACTGTGTTTGTCTTCTAAGTCTCCCCAAGCACCTGTAAAGTGATTAACATAATCATGCATTGTTTACTTAATGGAATTGCAGAATGCTTCCTGGTTTTCCTTAAAATAGCCACTTCTCATTACACACACCTGCCTCTTGTTCACTAAGGCAAAAAAAAAAAAAAAAAAGGCGCCCCTAGATGAGAATACTTAAGCTTAATGATATGCATTAAAGAAATCCAATCTTTTATTAACTAATTGAACTTCATTGGATACTAAATGTGGAGTTTGAAGTAATCTTTAGATGATTCTTTTAAGATCATCTAAATATATGGCTACAAACTGGAACTTAAGTTTTATGGACTAAGTATTATGAACTAGCCTTAGAATATCAGTGCCCAAGACATGCAGCATTTTATCCTCTATTATAGTGCAATAAACCTCATTTTTCTTGGATGATGTTTAATGAATGGAATGGCAGTCCCTCTATCATAGGTTATAATATGTCACAGATAATGATCTTCTCACAGACAAGATTCCTTCAGTCCTTGTTCCTAGATATTATTTCCTGTCCAATTACATCTTGTAACTCTCTGCTTTCAACTTTTGTCTAGCAAATTTTCCTTTGCTTCATGTTGTGTTAATTTCCTCCATTTGTCATATGTATTTTGAAAGTAAATAGTGGTTATGTTGAGTTCTGAGGGCCATATACAATCAGGTATCAATCACCTTGTGCTGATTGCTGTTCAGTAAAATGGTGGATCAGGCTTTAAAATTGTGTGCTATTAAAAGACTCTGGAACAAAAAAGGGAGTCATGGAAATGTTGCCCTTTTAAGCAATTGTGATCTTATTATGTACAGATCTTCTCATATTTTAAAAATCTCCTCTGGAACAGTTCTGACATAGTTCAGATCCTAAGGATGCAATGTCCAAGCATGATCCAGCAGAGCAGTATTTATAAAACAAATTGTCCTGTACTGCCTGTCTTTTTGGATCTCTGTCTCACTCTTCTCAATTTTGTTTAAGGCCCAGTGTGGGTCACTCAAATACTTTTCCAAAGTGTTTTAGTGTCTCTTTAATTTACAGAGTGTCTGGGATGAAAGAATGGCTGTTATTCAGTTCTATCATACCTGGTTTCAGACAGGTGAGAACACTGGACAGAACATTTGCATGATCAGAGTCAACTGCAGTCTAACCTAGAGAATGTGCTATTTATAGTAAGAAGGGAATTTGATTAAAAATGAAATTGGTGTAGAGTGCAGATGAAAAGTCAGGGTTGTACTGGGCTTATATCCCTCCTGTAGAGGTGATCTGAAAATCACATCATGACTGTTGCTAGCTCTGGTGTGTAACTTTAGTGAACTATTGAATGTGGCTGTGTTCATATGAATTTGAGTTCATACTGAGATTTCTATGTTGCTGTATGGCATTTCAAATATTTTTCCTACTAGAACTACATGAATTGAGTTTTGACTTAATGTTATAACGTTGAGGCAAGGATGACACTGAACTTTGTTATTCAGTTTGTTTCATGAACATCTACACTTGTAATCAAATTTGAGACAGGACTTTTTCACAGGTAGGTGTGCCCTTGAAGTTGGCACATCTTGTTCACATGACTAACCAGACTCACCAAAGCACTGTTGCTTTTATGTGATTGATGCTTCCTCTGAGCATTAGTGGCCTGGGAACTCTTTGACATGGATGCCTGCTGCATGCTGCCTGCCTGGAATTGTGCTTGTGTTTATCCTGGATTTGAAAGGCTTCTCCTGCTTCCCTAAGGGCCATCCCTTTCTCTCTAGCAATTACAATTTACGACAGAACAGTAATCTTTGAAGTGGTGCTGGTAATTATAAGTAGGCAGCATTTGGGCAGGTGTGCTTGGTAGGGCAGCACTAGGCCAGCTGTTAGCCTGTTGAGCTGCACAGCTGGATCCTGGCCATGCCAGCACTGCTTCTGCTGCCCAGAGAGGAGGAGCAAGGTGGCAGGTCAGAGCTGGGGTTTCTGGAGAGTCCTTGGAGCAGCCCCTTGCAGAGCTGTGCCAGGGTCTGGATTTACAGACGCAGGTCAGCAGTGTGAGAGGATACAGTACATAGGCTTGGCTTGCTACAGACCTCCTCTGGCCCTGGAAATCACTGGCGAGTTGACAGCCTACTTGTGCTGCTTATAATTGTATTTTTGTATCCTGGTGATCCAAGTGGAATTCCACGTTGGTAATTCCATCTGTATTTTATAATAGTTTCTGGTGTGTCTAGTGGTTAACATAGCAGTTTTTAAGTGGCAATGGATTAGCGAATTTGTGTTATACTTGCAAATTTGTTCAGAACCTCAAAGTGTTACTAACCTTCACAGGATTATGATGTAAACATTGGAGAAGTATGAGGAAGTGGATTCATGCTTGCTATTTAAAAAACATAAATTGAAAAAGAATCAATATTCAAAACATTATGAATCCTGAGAGCCTTATTTTTTGTGATTTCTGCACCCGTATCTTGGAGGAATACTGTTCAACTTAAAGAATTGGCAGGAGATCCATTGAAAATGATGATGATAATAATAAAGATAATAGTGGGGAAATGATTTCTAAATCAAATTTGTCCTTAAATTTGCTTTTACAGCTGCATAAAGAATTAAATATTTTTGTCAAGTACTTTCTATCTAGTGTTTTGTACACAAAATCCAATTCAGTTTGTAAAAGGTAAAATGTGCTATTGTTTTCTTTTTCTTTTCTCACAAAAGTGTCAATAAACCTGTTTGTTTTGGTCAGGAGTTAATAAAGAAAAAATCCTGAAACATAAGAATTAGCTTTTTGTACAAATAGAATTTTAATGGTGAAATGAAAAAACAGTCTTAGGTGCTGAAACTTAATCAGCAGTGAGCAAAGGAGTGCTGCTTGTGTGTCCCACAAATTTCTCTTCTTCATTTCACTCTGTGGATTTTTTTTAAACTCTAGATATCTACTTAATCTTACTGTCACTGTGGCAACAATAAAAACTTAAATCTCGTTCTTTCTATTAAATATATCACTATGTTAGAGATGGCATTTACTTGTGGATTTATCAATAGGAAACTCAATACTAATTTTTTTTTTTTTTAATGGACCAAAAGATGATCATGTAAAGCTTTGCTCAGCCTTATTTGGAAAAAAGCCCATGTATTATATTTATCGGTCTAGTTCTTATAACAAATAGGTACTCTATTATTAAAGTGAAAAACTTTAATAGTCTGTCTTCCTGCAAAAGCAGCATGTGAACATCTAAGGCCCATTAAATGTTACTTGTAAAATGTCTACTGTGTGCACACTGCTGCTTGTTTTATTCAAGTGCAGGGATTGATAAGTGCTGCTAACTGCATCTTAAGTGGCTGTATTCTCTTTTCTGACTTTTTGTGGTCATTAGAAACAGTGATCTTGAAATCTTGTGCTCTCTTCACTGACTCGAGGTTGAAGTGTCCAGTTTTCCTGGGGACAAATAGGAATACAGATAATTTTTTTTTAAAAGCTTTGGTTGTTGTTGAGTTTTAGACTGTCAGATGTGAAGGGTGTTGCATTGGATTTTCACTTGAGTTCCTGTACTGAAAAATGTTTGCAATAATATGTTCTACTTTAAGAGGGAAAAAAACCTACTTTCTCCCTATTGTGTTTCTTCAGCTTCTGTCATAATAGAATTAGGAATTAATATGAATAACAGATATATGGAAGAGAGAAAAGTTATATCATTGAATTGTTTCCTTGCTGTAGGTTAACAAAGCCCTTGTCATTTGCGGATTGTGTTGGGGATGAATTGCCGTGGGGATGGGAAGCCGCGTATGATCCTCAGATTGGTGTATACTACATTGACCACATAAACCGTAAGTACTTTTTGGTTTGCCACGTTGGTTATAAAAGACAACTCATCTTGATTAGACTCAGAATTCTTGATTAAAATCAAAATGCTGGGGAGAATTTTCCCTTTGGTGTAACATTATTGGTTTATAAATGCTTACAAGAAAATCTGCTGGTACAAAATGGTGACATCTGTTTCTACATGTATTTCTAATTGAATGGTAATTATGTCTAAACCACGTAAAACCAGCAAAATGTGAAATACAATGCTATTTTGGCCTGCTGAAATGAATATATTCCTGAAAGAATTTCTATTTTTTCTTTATACATTTATTACTCCATATTGATATGTTTTTCTATTTTCCCAGAAATAGTCTTTAACAGCACAATAGCAAAGGTTTTATTTGAGATAAACACCTGAATCTAGGTAAATGCATCTGTGCTAGCAGTACCTATACTTACCTAAAAATTAGCAGTTATCTACAGCCATTTCAGATGCTTGAAGTTAGCAGAGGCAACTGCACCAGGTCAGTAGATGGCATGGGCAGTAAGAAACCAGTGGCCTTCTGAATGGCATCTCAAATGTATGGGCAAGTGAATCCACCCTGCCTTGTCTAAGCCACTTTTGCAGTCACAAGATCTCTAGTCAGTACAGTTAGTGTAATGTAAAATGTGATGTAGCTGACTGGTTGGCTGCTTTGCTGATGAGATGATTTAACCTCCTGTGGTTGGGTTGGACTAGAACTCTGATAACTAGAATGGGACATTAGATATTAGCTGTGCTTGTTAAGCACCTGCAGATAGACACCTAATATTGAACTTTCTCCCACGCAATAACCTCATTTGTGCTCTTAATTACAAAGCCTTGCTTTGCAATGAGAGTCCTCTGATCTTACATACAGTGTTAGACACTCATGAACTTTTAAACATGCAAGCATCCTTGGCTGAATTCAAAAGGTGAAGAAAGTAAAGGGTTTTCTTCTGAATCTAAATGCAATTATCAGCATAAACTTGTCTCTGACTTCTGCTTTGGCCAAAATTATAGGGCATACACCCATAAATTTTGAGAGCCAAGTTGTGTTTCTGGGTGTTTTGAGAGTGCTTTCAGATCACTGTGCTCTGATTGTGCTCTTTTTATTTCATGCATGTTCAAAATTTTTAATCAGTTCTAAAAACCTCTTGTAGTTTTGTTGCCTGTTTTTTTTTAAGAAAAAAAATTTAACTGCTTTCTTTACTCTTAAATGTTATTCCTGTGCATTGAAAGTGAATTCCTGAATATCAGGAGCTATTCATGGTTTGAAATTTTGATACACTTAAAGGTAGTTTCCATCCCTTATTTGTTCAGTAGTGCTCTTGATTCCTCTTATATTAATATATGTATTCCTTTGTGGCAACTTCTGCAAAACTTATTTTGTAAAGTGGTGTATTTTAGTTTTGTACACTGTATTTTGCACAGTGATTTGGTGAGAGTACTCTTCAGTTGCTGGGTGGTTAACTGCCTAAGAATCTTACAAGCAGGTGATTTGTTTGATGCACCACATAAGGAGATTATGACTTCTATTTCATCTGACCAGGGCACATGCAATGTTTTGATGCTATTGAAATCTCTGGTATGGAAGTCACTTGAAATGAGTGGAGAAAAGCCTTTCTAGAAAACAGGTTTTGTGTCTGCTTAGTACTTTATTAGTTTTGTAACAAGTCAGATGTGCTGAGTATGCTTTTGGATTTGAACTGTTAAAATTCCCTGTCAGGACAGTGGCTATGTTAGAACAAGGAAGACTCTTTTACTCTTTTGAAAGTGGTTTTGTTAATTCTCTCTGCTACTGGACAAAGAAGCCAAATGAGGGAGAAAAACTGTACCTACTGCTAGGAGGAAGAACAAATAGATAGATGCCTCAAAAACAGGTTGGATAAAGTAGAATTTCAGGACTCATAAATAGCAGCTTGAGGGATAGCACCTTGGGAAGAAATCTGCTCCCGTGTGTTAGGTAGGGAGAGGTGACTAATGATGCTTCATGTTCACTGCCGTCTGGCTGAATTTATTTCAGCAAAATGTTTGAGGGAAGGCCCACTGAGTCTCTCTTTTTGCATCCCATAATTAATTATTCTAAGCAACTTCTCTCTTGACTGTCCTTTTTCTCATTTGTTTTTCTGGTGTTGTTCCTACTGTGTGCCTCTCTACAAAGCTACATTTGATCCAATTGTGAAGTTTCAGGTTGTTCACAGGACTTGGATCAGTTTCATTGTGATGGCTCCAATTTTGTTATATTTCTCAAGCCAGCCTACTGAGCTATGGAGGAGCAAGTTGTTACTCATGGTTGTTCCCTCCTTTTCTGTAAAAATTTGGCGTTGATGTTAAGGGTGGAGTTTCCATTAATGAACAGATAGGTACTTGCTTCAGTGGATATTGAGAAAACTCCCCAGTAATTTAGAGAAAGCAATTGCACCTTTCAAAGTTCTAAAACTTCTACTGAATTTCTATTAAGTAATTTTTTTCAAAAATTATATAAATCAATAGGCATATTATTTTTTTCAAAATATTTTCCTCATCTGTGCAATTATTTGTCTTGATCTTTTTCCTTCCCTTCTTTCACATAAACCTGAGAAAAGTCTACTCTTCTGCAGAGGGCTAAGAGTTGTTTATGAGCAATCTGCAAATGTAGAACCATACCTCAGATTCTTCTAGTGTCAATATGTTTAAGGATAGTTTAGTTTTATTATAATCTCACATTTTCTATATTTAATTCTTTTTTTCGCCCCCAAATACAGTTTGGGTTTTTCAATAGCCTTAGAGCTTTCTCATGATCCTTTTGGATGATGTAACCCACTTTGAGAAGCACTGACTGAGGTCATTACTTTATGAATATATTACCCCAATTAGGAGTTTTAATGTGGTGCTTTCAGCTTCAAGGGAGACCAAATTACAGGCCATCTGGCAAGGCAGAACATGCATATGATCTGGGTAGCTAATACTGTAAGAACTTAAATACTTACCCTGTGCTTCAGCAGCACCCTTTGTTAGAGGATGACTGAAAGGGTATTATTTGGTGGGCAGGGCCTGAGGAATTTGTTTTCTGCAAGATCCTTATTACTGTGGTTTGGGAGAGCCCAAAGATTTTATGACTTATGCTGTTGACTCCTATAATCATTATAGCATACTTGTTCTCATGTGTTCATCTACTTCAGCTAATTTGCTAACATTTACTGATTTTGCTAAACAAGAGGGTTAGGAAAAGGCCATACTAAAAATAACACAACTATTGCTCCACTTTATTTCATATATCTGCAGGTGAAGTTATCACTTTCAAATTTTTTCCAATTCTTCTGTAGGGTTTTCCATATCAAGCATTAAGTGTCTGAGATGTAAACATTTATGTTCTTAGAGCTTGGATTTGCAAACAACTTTAAGCTGATATAATCTTTGAAAGTATTGGTCCTGCTCTATTGCTACCTCTGGCCTTTTGTTCTGTCTCTGCAATGTTTTTGCTTATACTGCCATGAACATTTGCATGGCCAGACAGTGAATCGGATCAGGGAGCTGATCCAAGTTAAAACTGATCTGGTATGGGGAAAAAAAAAAAAAAAAAGTTGCTATTTGTTCTCCTTTCCACACCTCTATTTATGCAAGCAAGAAAAGGAAGGTGACCTGGGATATGAATGAACAGTCAGGTGGAAGAGGTGGAGGATAGATACTTTTGATAGTAGCAGTGGTTAAAGGCATTTTGAAATTACACCCTTGAATTTTCATCTGTTCTCTGCCAGAAAGCAGTTTTGACTCTGAGGCTGTGACTTCCAGGTGCACTTCTCAGGTGGTGGTGGCAGCTGAAGTAGCAGCCATTGCTGTCAGTTCCTGTCCCCACATTGTGTCCACATGAGGATATGCAGTAAACATGGACAACAGGGAAGTGCTCTGCTTCCTGAGGTATGAGTTGTTTTCCACCTCCTCTCCCTTCCCCCAGCTTGCTCAGGTTTTCTGATCTGGATCAATCTATGCTATGTTTAGATGAACAGTTGTGGAAGTAATGGCAGAAAGAAAAGGAAACTGCTGGTTTGATGTGCATGGTCTAAAGGGATCCCCTACTGCGACAAGTTCTGCCTTGCCTTCAGCACCCTATCTCTTCCTAAATAACTTACCCCATTTACTTTCAATTCTTATCTTCTCAGATAAGTCTCAGGAATAACAAGGCAAATGGTTGTTTTCTTCATTGCATTGATCTAGTTAACTCATAAAACAAATACTCTGCTGTTAGTAATGTTTACTGGCAAAGGTAGCAGAATGGCAATGAGTGACGGCGTTTAAAAGACAATGATAAGAAGGAGTAGTTTTTCCTAGCCCTGCACCATTTCAGACCATCATATCGCTTTCTTTTTGCCAGTTTATACTTTGTATCCAATATGATGATTCTTCTTCCTGAACTCAACCCAGCACTTTTCTTCAAAATGGAGTTGGACAACTCTGCTTCTACACCTCCTCCCTACTTAATTTTAACAGTCCCTTTTGAAAGCATGAATATATCTTTCCCAGAAACATCCTTCTATCACTGTTTCATCCACAATGAAAAGGAAAATTGAGTCAGTGATGCTAAAAAAAAAAAAAAAAGGTGAAGAGGAAAGGCTAGCTGTTTACACTGTTTCACACAGTATGATGTTTTAACTATAAGAGTTCTATTTCTTGTTGTAATCTTAAAGGTTTTCATGCTAGTTTATGCTTGTACAACTGTTTTATCTAACATAGGGACTTCTGTGGACAGACTGCTCCAGCCTGGAAGTCTAGTACATCTGCATCTATGAAAGTAGGCCAGATTGATTTTCAGAAAAGGAAGAATCTGAAAATCCCACCATGAGTCTGTAATTACCGATAGCTTGAGGGAGTCAAATGGTGTATCATCACAAATGTGCCCTGTTTGTTCCCATGACATACCACCATCTTCTAAGCAAGTGGTAGCATGCAATCAGTTGTGAAGACTCTTTGCTGTCAGCAAATGCACATGGCAGAAACCCAAGTGTGATATGTCTTACCCTAAAT